CCACGCTCCGCTCTGCACCAGCTGTGTGGTTTTGGTGATTCACCTGCCCTCTCAGTGACTCTGGTTCTTTGTGTGATGTGGATAATAGTCCTGGTCTCAATGGTAGGCGCTCGCCTAGCACACGTGAGGCACTGGGTTCAATCCTCAGCACCACATGAAAATAAGATAGATGTATTGTGTTCACCTACAATTAAAATATATATTTTTTTAAAAAAAAGTCTGCGAACCCTGCTTAGAGGCTGAGGCAGGAGGATCGAGAGTTCATAGTCAGACTCAACAAAATTTGCAAAGGCGCTAAGCAACTCAGTGAGACCCTGTCTCAAAATAAAATAAAATAAGCCTGGGGATGTCGCTTAGTGGTCAGCTGCCCCTGAGTTCAATCCCTGATACCAAAAAAAAGAAGGTGAACCCTGAAATAGGCTTTTATTTCATGTCCTTTCCACTTCTATTACACATGGTTTCCAATGAGTAAAATGTGGGCAGATGAGGGGAAAGGCAGGCTATTTTAGTTAACAAACTTTATATGAGCGTAATTAAATCATTCCATTAAAAAGGGATTTGGCATAGCACCTTCATAAATAAGAAGACCTATTATGTGTTCCAAACTTATAGTGCCAAGTGCCTCTGGAGGACCCAAGATCATTACTCAAGGGTGTGCACAACATAGTTAACGGTTAAAGATACTGAAGACCTGGGGACCAGGCTCCTTTGAAAACTAACCTCAGGCCCTGTCTACAAGGGTGTGTTTGTGTTTGAGAGGTATTAAAAGAGTAATAGAAAGAGCGCTTGGTTTTATTTAGAATCCCTCAGGTCATCCATTTACTATCTTGGTAAGTTTGAGCTGAGTAACTGACCTCGGAGCATCAATTTATTCATATTTAAAATAGATATGATAATATCTACCTCATAAAGTTGGGATGAGGGTTAAACACCACCATTAACACACAATAAAGGCTCCCCAACATAATCTCCTCTTTCCCAAGAAGATAACTGACTCATTTGGCAAACCCACCGACTGCAAAAAGACCAAAGCATACACAGGAACAAAACTGATTCAGACTATATCTGAACTTGCTGTCACTCTAAACCACTTCACTCTTCAAAACCTTTGACCTAAAACTGTGCCTTTGAAATTAGGGATGTAACCCTCTCTACTATTCCTACTATAAAGAAGAGCTTTTAAAAACTGTGTGTTCTGTACTGGAGAATATCAAGAAACAGACACGTAATAGAGGGATTGATGGCAGAACGGCACTTCCAGGCAAGACCAGCTTGTTGACTATAAGGAGACACTCATAAAAATCACTACCTTTGGAGACTTTGCCTCCCTGTCTGTTTGGCCTTTGTTCTGTTAGATATTTGTTTAGCAGGTTGGAGAGCTAAGGCATTGTCAGACACATTGCTAGAATGCATTCACTGTGCTGGCTTTCTTTCCCTCCTCTCACTCAAGTGAAAATTGGTCATCCTGAGTAAATGTGGTTTTGGGGGGAAGAGGAGAGAAGGCAGTGGAACACCCCAGGAAGAAAGAGGCTGGACTGAGCCAGCCCCACAGAGGAAGTAGAGTCAGCATTGACACGAGTTAGACTTTGGGAGGTGGAATCAAGCACATCTACTATTTAGAAGGAATAATTGTTTCCTCCATCCACACTGATTTGTCTCTTGTTTGCACAATGTACATCACTAGAAGAACAGCATTCTATCAATTATTACTAGATTATAAATTAACTAGGTTATCTAGACCAACCAGGATACTACCTGCTCTTGGAAATATTATCATATGTGAATAAATGCATTTCTAATAACAAACATAGATATGAATTTGTAAAAGCAAGTCTGACTTTAAATTGACATTTGAGGGATGTCTGAAATTCCTAATAGCTTTATATGTAGCAATTCTAGGCGACCAAAATGAGTTTCTAGTAGATATTGAGCACATTTTTTGTTGTCATTGAATGACAAATGCTTGAATATAAATAAACATCAATTCCAGTAAAATCACATTTGATTAGAAATAAAGCAAAATATTTGTTCATAATTTTATTAAAAGATAAAGAACTTATCTCTGTGTGACTTGGCTTTTACGTGAACAAGCAGGAAAGATTCAACCAAAGCCTTTCGTTAATTCTTATGTGTTGTGGATGCTGCTGTGTTACATAATGGACTTTGAAAATCAGATTAAAATGCTTTACCCCAAATTGAGTTCCAGGATGATTAAAGTTTAGGTACTTTAAAACAAAGAAAACAAACAAGCAAAGAAATAAAAAATGAGTTAAAGATTTATCAAACTTGAGAGGAGAAGGAAATTAAAGTTATAACTTTTGCTGAGGATTGAACCCAGGGCCTTGTGCATTTGAGGTAAGCACTCTACCAACTGAGCTATATCCCCAGCCCTAAACTTATAACTCTTGAAGAAATCACCTACTAAAAAAGGAATGCACACATTAGTTTGCAAAAATGAAAAATACCTGCGTATTTTAAAGTAATAATAAATATAAAGAAATTAGAAAAATCATTAAATATTTGATACATAGGTAAACAGTAATTATCTTTACTAAATAAAGAGTCTATACCAAACATGTATGCACACATACATAAACTCAATCTATTCAGATTAATTGGATGCTTATAGAAAATACAATCAGAAGATATGGTCAACATCATTAAATATTAAGTAAACCCAGAAGAAAACATCACATAATGTTACACATCCCATTAGCAAAAGATCATTTAGACTTGTCCTAACACTCTTTCTACAATAGTACTCTCCTCCAGGGAGAATAGGAAGTAAATTCTCATTGACTATAGGAACATTAAACTGATAGGAAGACAGTTTGATAACATGGATTGAAACAGTTGTATCCTTTAAGGTACTGGTCCCCTTTCTCTAACATTGCACTAAAAAACTACTCCTAGTTGGAAAGTAGCCTTCACATATTCACCATGATGTTCTTCAGTCTAAACCACCCAAGTATTAAATGACAGAGGAAGGATTCGGTAAATACTGAGACAGTTCTTGGATCTGACATCATGACAGCTAAAGGTGCTGTTATGGTGACTATATATGGGAAAGTACAGTCTCTGTGATTCCCATATATGTAGCTATATTTCAGAACATTCTAGAAAGAAATTTGCTAAAGCACTAATGATGTTTGTCTTTGCTCTGTAGGAGAGGTACAAGGATGCAAGGTGTTAAGAGTGTTGGATTAGAGTGGAAACTGCCTAGGTTTGAACACTAGCTCTGCCACTTGAGAATATTTGACTTTGGATAATTTTTAAGCTCACTATGATTATGTTTTTTCATCAGTAGATTGGCGGTAAAATAGTACCTACCTCCTGGCGTTGTATTCAGGGATTAAATTACTAAAGCAGACAAAGCCTAGACAGTGCCTAGAGTATAGTGAGAACTCGGTAGGCATTAGCCATTTCCTTTTTATATTAGTGGTAGACCCAATACAGCCTTTTGCCCCATCTTCCTGCATTTTACAAAGCAGCTTTGCCCTCTTGCGTATATTACTGTTACACTGTGGGTGAAAAAACAATCACTATTTTCCTGAAGGCTCTGAAAACTGGGTCAGCTGTATTTTCTAGTCACACACATTCAGACCCTTATTAGATTATCACAGGCTGTAGTTGGAGAATGGATAACTTCATGGTTGCTGAGGCTCAAGAATTGAAACTCAAGTTGCAGTGACAATTGTGGGGAACTTTGTGTCCCATTTCATAAGAGAAATAGCCCATTTCATAACAAGTTAGGAAAGTTCAATTTCTGTAAAGGGCTGCTTGCATCTTTTGGAAATTCTTGTGTGTCTCCCCAGTTTTCTTTCCTCCTCCCCCATTCCCACCCCCAATCTCTAGCTTTTAGGTAACTCTCTACTGAGTAGTTTCTTTTCTCTATAATTGACATGGACTTTAAATATATGAAATATAAAATCACGTTTTAATAAAAACCAAATTTTACTATATTTATATAAGTAATTTTTGAGGAGGTGCTAGGGATTTAACCTAGGGGTGCCTTAAACTGAGCTACATTTCCAGCCATTTTTATTTTTATTTTGAGACAGGATCATGCTAAGTTGCTGATGCTGACCTTGAACTTGCAATCCTCCTTCCTCAGGGTGTAAGGAAATTTTCTTTAGCAAGGAAAGTAAGTTAGGGAGAGGGGAGAGAGAAAGAATCAATTTGTTTTTGTGCCTTCATTAATTTCTGAAAATGTCAATAAGTATCATGCATCATTTGATTTACATATGAAGTTATCATTCTAAGAATATTTTTGAGGTTCCAGGAACAGAAGGGAAACTAAGGAGGAACTTGCTTTCTCTTTTCCCTATTTGCCCTCAAGTTTTCAGGGGAAATTTTTGGGAAAAGTTGGCTCACTTTGAAGTCTTCTCTTGCCAGCAACTAACAAGTCTGTATAATACAGTTGCCAAGGCAATGTCAAGACCATGTAGACAGAGGAAGAAAATGTGGTGTGCAGACAGGAGATGGTAAAACGGATTAGCAGTATGAGCAGGAAGGGTTTGTTTGTTTTTTTTAAATTGGAAAAAAAATAAAATCACATTATCCTTTATAAGTGGTTATACCAGCAGTTCTAACGTCTGTTATTGTAAATGAACTTCATTATAATAAGTTCTTTTTTCCAGATCACCTTGTTCATGAGGACATGATTTGTTTCTTGATTATTGTTCCTCTATACCAAGCCATGTCAAAATGAATTCTACTGCATTCAAGTTAGACAAAGAAATTTTTCATTTGCCCAAACCAAAACATTTTTTTGTAAGTTCTTCTTGAAGCCATGGATCCAGCCAAACCCTTCCAAATAATGATTGCAAAGATAGATGCTCCCAAATCTGTACAAATATTTGCTGATTGAATAAATTTACTCTTGTCAGGCATGAGTAACCACCAGCCAAATACTTGCTCATTTTTCTAGGACTGCTGCTTTAGTTTTCAAAAAGCTCAATTTCTCTTTCTTTCTTTTTTCTTTTTCCCCCTTCCTTCAGGTACAATCCTTGGATTTACCCTCCGACCATACAAAATGAGCTACAGGGAAATTAAGTACTTCTCCTTTCCTGGGGAGCTTCTGATGAGGATGTTACAGATGTTGGTCTTACCGCTCATTATCTCCAGTCTTGTCACAGGTACCATTTGCAGATTTTGATATTGGTTTGTTGTTGTTGTTGTTTTAAGTGTGCTTGTTGCAAAAGATCACTTAGAAAAGCAAACGGTTTGGTTTCTACTGGATGCATGCTCTACTCTAGAAAAATAAAGTCCCTTCAAAATGATGGAAAGGAGGCTTTAGTAATGCATGAATGATTATAACTCTCATATTTTACCAATCACAAGAGAAAAATGGATTCAAACAGCCATGTAATCTGGTCTGCCTCACCATGGAAGAGGTGCCCTGCTAGACACCACACGTCCAGCTTTCTCTGACCACAGTGATGTAGTTGACAACAGCGTACAACAGGTCTGTTTTCTCACCCTCTTATCCCACCCAGATAACATCTGGTTGGACAGCCTATTAGCTATTGATGCAAGAATGCTTGTTCTCAGAGCCACCAGGACTTGAGCGGGAGCCTTCTTGGAAGCCTCATCAAGAGGTAATGCCCACAACACACTCACCAATTCTGCTGCCACCAACACTTTGTCTTTTCCTGGTATACCCGCATGATTTCATTTCCTTCTCCAGTTACCCCTCACCCCCATTACCTTTTATTCTGGGAGGAGAGTGGGGAGGGGGTGGGAGATTTCCCTGTTGGATATTTTGTTAGTTGCCACTTGAATTTTTAACCAGTGGAAGCTTTGCAGGATACCTTTCGATTTTCCATGACAGTGAGACAGTAGTTCACCCCTGCATGGAAAAAGGCTAGAGTCACTGGCATATTGATTGACGAATACAGACTGAGCCAAGAAGTGGTAGAGAAACATTCCTGTGAATTCCTCCCTGCCCACTCTTCTGTCTCCCCATAGCACATCTCTGACTCAGAGAAGGAATTTCCATAGACACTGCCCCAGCAGGATGGTTTCTGGGTTTGTAGCTAAAGCCCAGAACTCAGGTATTACTGACCCTGTTCTCTTTTCCCCCTTAGGCAGACCACTTCACCTCTGTGTGAGCTATCTCTGAGCATCTTTCCCCTTCTTCCCAGGGAGTTCTCAAAGATACTTATAATCTCCTTTCAAGATCTCTGTGCAATGAAAATTTCATAGTGCAACTCGAAAGTCATGAGGCAACATTCTATCACATGCCTTGGAGGGCTGACCATTACTTGGACAGGAACTGAGTTAGATTTTTTCCTCAATGCCTTGTAGATCTCAGCTGGCTCCCACATGTCCAGAGCCCTAAACAAGTAATTTCATGTATACCAGCTTGTATTAGAGGATGGATTGCACACAAACCAGTCCTGTAGACCTTTGGGGTACTTGTTTGTGAAACTGGTCTAATCCATTGCTAAGGAGGGGTAATCGTAGCAGCTTCAATTCTTATCACAGAAACTATATTCAACGCTGACCTGAGGGCATATTTTCATTTTGTTATCCATTTTTCTAGGGAAACAAATTATTTACATAAAACATGGGTCAGAACCCACATCCAAGTTTTTATTTAGTAGAACAATGAGTCCCTCTTCATCCCCCTACTTGCGAGGCATCCAAACTGAGAACATATAATTTTCCTGGACACAAACCAAAGGGTCTTGGGTTCCTTATCCTGGCTCTTCCAGAGTGGAACCAGTATCAAGAGGTTTCTGCTTTTACATAATTGTGCTGGAAACCCACAGTGTTGCTGTTAAGAAGAGAAAAGCCCTTAAATGATACAGTTTTTAATGTGCTACTTTTGTAGCAGACTCAATCCACATTTACCTTGAAGTAGGATTCCTTGGTGTTTTTAATAATTAGTAATCAACTTTATAGAAGGAATTTGTTGCATCATTTTGCAGAAAGAAAAAAAATCTATGATGCAGTCCCTTTGCTTGGTTAAAAAGAAATTTTGTTCAAACCTTGAAGAAATTATCAATATTTACAATATTGTTATTAAACAGAAAGGAATTATAAGCTTCAAACAACCAATATTAAATGGTTTTTATAATGTAATCTAATTGCGTTTTGGGAGTGTTGCCACATGGGACCATTAAGAGAGTCTTAGCTCTTACCCAGGACTGTGTTAAGACAAGGAGCCTGAGGACCATAATTTAGCTTTGCCAAAGATCTTTCTAAGGTGCTAGTCTCAAAGGAGTAATTTCCAAGCTACACAGTAATTTAGATACTTATGATCAATTAAAATGCATGATTGATTTAATAAGAATTTCCTTCATGTCTTTGAGTAAAATCATTCTAAACCAAAGGGTGTGATCTATTGGGAATGGCAGGGGGGAATTTTTTGCAAATTAAGCCAACCCCTGAGGATCCCTGTGTGTGTTGAGAAATGTTACTGGGGAACCTGTTGCCTAGGGAAAGAACAAAGGAAGGCTCCATTCTGTTAGGATGGAAAAACAATCTCAAATGTTTCCAATCTTCAAGCTGGTAACATATATATATGAAGCTGCCCTTTCAGACTGCTTTTTGTTTTCTTACTTTGATTGAGTCATGGATACAGAGAAATATTTCTCCTCAATGGGAGAAGGATCATGGACAAATGTAATGATAAGTAAGAAGTGATTACACTGCAGAACAAGCAGACAAAAGAGAGGCAAGGACACTGTTGGGACTTGAAAAGTAAGACTAATCACCTCCTGCCAATCATTGCCACATATCAACAAGGGCCAAATCTTCCTGGTTTTCTAGAGAATGTTGTGATCCAAATTTTTAAAAGCTCTTTATCAATGTTAATGCATTTTTAAATGTTGATATAATTCACTAAACAAAACACTGCAAGGCAAGCAAAGTGTATCTATCGGGCCAGTCCAGCATCAAAACTCAGGTCTGGATGTCGGTGGTAATAATGAGAAATGCACTGCTCAATTCATTCACCCGTAAGGCTGTCACTGGGTTTCATATTTTGCCTGACACAACCAATGGCAGTTCCATGCTAAAGATTGATTTGCAACAGTGAAATTAGCTACTGACCGCCATGTTTATTGCTGGCTTAGCATAGCTATTGCAAAGCCTCTCCCCTCCATCTTCTGGGTATGACCACATTGTTTAGAATCTGTTTTAGTCTATTTTGCACAAGACAAGAACATCATAGTAAGAACTCAGAGGTCACACTCCCATAGAAAGTATTTCCTAGCAGAAAAACTTAAATGATTTTAAGTTCAATGCCTGAGGGTCTGCACAGATGGAAATGAAATTCCATTAATTTGTTATTGCATTTCTTGGACTAAGCATTCTGTTTTGGAAGATTCTAGAAAACAGGTTATATATTTAATTGAATGAAGTCATGTTTAGTTTCACTGAGTGGAGTTTTGCAGTCCTGGGAATCAAACCCAGAACCTCGTGCATACTAAGCAAGCACTCTACCACTGAGCTACATAACCAGCCCTGAAACCATGAAATCTAAGCTAGAGTTTTGTACTTGAAACATCTGTGTTTGTGAGTTATGGCTCCTAGACCCCTGTAAGCCACGATTTCCTTGTCCTGAATTGAAATTCAAATCTTTCCAAACATCCCTGGTGTGTATTAGCATTCCAGAAGCTGCCAGGGAGAAGCTGGGAGAAAGCCTAATGGCTACATTTGTACTCAAGTACCTATTTTTTTGAACAAGAAGAATATGTCTGTGCCAACACACCACACAATAAAATAGGGATTTGGCACCAATTTCTATTGATTTGGTCAGGATAAGCAGCCAAACTAGATATTTCATGCCAGAAATATGAGTTGGCTTGGCTGACTTCACCTGATTGAAATTCACTGGATAACAATTAGACAACGTATCTGGTTGTACAGTGTAGACATAGCCATCACCCCCTCTTTACTTTTGAATTTTTTTAGAAAGCTAGTGTGTTCTTCTCTTCCATTCAAAGTGTGCACTCCCCTCAATCACTCATCGCAAAAGAAGGTTCATGTCTGGAAGTGGGGAGCTTTTGGCAGACCGTCTCTGTGGAGTGGGACATATTATAAGTGAAAGGGGATGACAGGGGGGCATCAATAGTATCTACAGTAGCCATGTGGGGGCCTTCAGGAGGGCACGTTGGAGTGGGATGGTAAAATAGATGAAGTTTATCCTGTAACGTCCATTCACAGCTGTTTTACTGTGTGAGACCTGGGCTGGTCACTGGGGATTCCTGAATACAAAAGAAGTCCCGTAAAGAAAGAAAACTTCCCAAATCGCTTAACTGATGCAATCTATGTAAGCAAATTTCTACATTAATGACACTGGTTCTCTGAACTCCCCACAAGAAGGACGAGGCAATTGCATTGACTGTCTTAAGAACATGATCCCAAATCTGATTTTCATAGTCATGGCATCTTCACCCCAAAGCCAACTAGTCCAACATTTTCCAGCCTAGGCACCATTCCTGTTCTCACTTACTTTAATTCTACTTTAACATACTTTTTTTTTTAACAGTGCTTCAAATCATTACCAAAAATGGGAACTTCTTGTTCCTTTTCTTGTGAAGCAGATAGTAAATAGCAGTGTTATGAAATTTTGAATTGATAGAGTTGCCTGACAAAGACTCTGAGAAACTCAAACACCCGCCGCCACTCTCATAATTTAAAAAAAGGAAAAAAGAGGGAGGTGTAAGCAAATGTGTTCAAGGGCGACAAGTAGCTAAGACTGTCTTTCCTACAATCTGAAGAATTGAAGGAGAGATGAAAAGAATTACTATCTTACTCTATGATTTAATTTTAATTAAGAAAAGGTTTCCGTGCCACCAGAGCCATCGTATCTCCTCCACTCAGGGAAACACTGATGTGATCCAGCCATTCTGTCCAAAAGATTATCCAACTTCCACCTGAACATGTCCAAAGACGTGACCTCTTTAAAACCCATTTATTCTTATACAACTAACCATGTATCTTTGTATCCAAAGTAAAACAAACAATTCTTTCTTAAAGAAAAACCAAACAACACACCTGCTTGCCTGTGACCACCTCTCTGTGTGACAAGTTCTATAATGTGTCAAATTAAAAGGCAGTGTCCCTTTAAATCTATAAACCGGTGAACTCAATGGAATGTGTGACTTGACAATAGTTAAAGCCAACAAGCTGGAATCTCTTACCTGAGAAAATAATGAAAGTAAAAGCAATAAGTGTTGTACCTCAAAGTATGGCTGTTTGGCTTTAGAGAAACGACAATAAGAGTGGGCTGAAGTTTGTCATTTCATTGATCACAACAGGCCAAAAAAAAAAATGAGCTTAAAAAATAATTTGTTCTTGAGCTGGTGAGCGTTTGTTTAAGGCTTGCAAAAATGAGAGCCAGAATCATTTAGGAGAAATTTAATATTTTAGACGATACATTGCCAAGGCTCTGGTGTGTAGCTCAAGCCAGTTTGGATAATCTGAGCAGTCACAGTCAAGAAAGAGGCCATAAGTTACACACACATACTGTATTGGAATAAAAACTGTCTATCTTGGATGGGGAAGTGTTTCTTTAGGCTTCCCTTTCTTTCTCTGAAGAATAGGGGTGAAGATGGTCCCATAGGTGTGAGGATTTATGCCTGGCACATAGTATGTGCTCAAGCAGTGGTAACCACTGGCACTAAGAGCTGTCAGCTGGCCTCTGGCTGTTCTCACTGTGCAAATGAAAATTCAAGAGCAAGAAGAGAGAGCTTCAGTTCAGGAGCACATAATGAAGGCTGCAGATTCCAGGAGTCTCATTTGTCTATGATCCTTGCGGCAACCACTTCCCTATTAAGGTAAATTAAAGAAACCATAAAGTTAACCCAGTAACAACATGGGAAACGGAGAAAATTCCTTGCTCACCACTGGAGGGGATTGGTTTCTGCCCTGCAGCATGGGACTTGACTTCCTTATCGCAGCTGCATAATTCCAAATATTATCATTGGTTATACAACTGCCCAGTTTTCCCTGAGAAGCTCAGCCCCAGTGTGTGGCACCCTGCATTCTGCCAGGCAGCGAATTCCACATGCAGCTCACACGCCGCGAGCTGAGACTTTACAGCTCACCAACACTTAAGGCAAACTGTGTCTCTGTCTCCACACTGGAACACACCTCATGGCCACTTGGAAACACGTCAGCTGTAGAGAAGCTCCAGTCCAGGACATTGGAAGCCTGTAGGCTGGTCTTGCATGATGGTGTCTGCAGGACTGATCACACTGTGGGCATGGAGGCTGAGCCATGCCTATATACTGGGAAAGGTTGTAGGATATAGTGGAAGAATCCATCTCTGCGGTAAGGCAATCCCCCAACTTCTTTGTATCATGGAGAAAGGAAATCTGGAAAATCAAATGCTGCTTTCCCTCCATGGATTTGGATTTTGGTGAGATGCAGACAAAGTCTACTCTTTGTTACAGACAACTTCATTCGGTAAACAATTTGGGAGGCTTCCTATGTGCCAAGTAATTTCTAGGACCTAAGGATACCCAAATGTCTTCCAGGGTTCACAGTCTGGTTCATGGTTCTGTGATTGCAACTGAAAGTTGCAAGGGTAAAAGGCAGTAGGAGCCTAGTGAGGGAACCAAAGGGGAAGGCACACTGTAACCTTCCCTCTTCCCCTGGCTCCCAGTACTCAGGCCATCTTGCCATTAAATGACTCTGAGCAGGGAAAAAAGGGACATTTTTTTTTCCTGACACGTGAGTATTTCACCATTAAATGCAGTAAGAACCAGAGCTGGAGACCTGTGTGAAGTCCCCAGCAGAAGTCACCACAAGGAATGTGGTTTTGCAGATGGGCAGTCAGAGAGAAGACATGCTTGACAGGATTTCGATTCTGCAATTTGTATACGGGGTAAAAATGGGAGTTCATAACCCACTTGAATCAAAGTGTGAAATATGATATATCAAGAACTATGTAATGTTTTGAACAACCAACAATAAAAAAATTAAAAAAAAAAAACTACACACACACACACACAAAAAAAATCTGTCTCTTTCAAGAGGGCCCAGGAGATTTATGGGCTCCTGAGTTAAAAGAGATGTGGAAGTAGCATGGGCTGCCTTATTCCCCTCCCCTCTCCAGTACCCCTAGAGGGTTACCACCCAGTGGTTCCATTTTAGAAGGTCTCAACTACTGAACCCAAAGGCTATCTTCTGTGAGATCCACCTCTTGGTCCTAATTGTGCTATAGGAGCAACAGAGGAGGACACTTTTTCAGACAGTTTCAGGAGAGTGCCTGGTATCTCTTTGCACACCTGAGCCCCAGCTGGGTTCCTGGTGCTTCTTATGTGCCTGTCTCTAGGTGCTCCACCATCCTGTTCACCTCCCACACCCACTGTGGTCCCAGGACTGACCCTGGTGCTCCAGCTGCCATGTGACTGGGGAGGGACAGTGATCTGCACCCAGTGCTTCTTAACACAGTTTGGTACCAACTGCAGCAACTCAGTGAAATTGGAGAGAGTTGGGTGCTCTTGGGAAGTCTTGTACTAAAAAACGAAGCAGTTCTTCCATTGAAAGAGCAGAGCCTTGGGCTCCAGGCTCAGTGTGAGCTGCTGCTTTTCCAAAGGGCTTGGTGAGTAGGAAAGTCTCATCTGTGAATTTCTTCACTTTCAAGGTAGCCTGTACTTTGGGTCAATTCTGGTTTGGAAGAAATTTTTGAAATTTTTTTTTTTAAGAGAGAAAATTTAAAAGCTTCCTTTAGAAAAAAAAAAGGAGTCTCTTCTCCCCTTGATTATCAGTGTAATAACCTCTTTCCTGACCCCCTGCTGATGCATGTTTCCAGAGGCCTGGGTTCATTTCCATCTCTTTGTTTCTGCACCACAATGTGATTAGTTGTTAAGTCATTTTAGTCTTCAGAAAAGCTTCTGGAAGGTTCTGTGTCTTTATCTGGCATATTTTGTGCATGGCCTAAAGAACAGAGTATGAATTCTTGTCATCACAGCCTTCACAAGCCGCTTTACCAGCATCCTTGCCTGATGCTTGGCTGACAGAAACCCCACTTCCTCTTTCAATGTCCTAATGCCCTCAGCACTTCATTCTTCCCCCTGGTGTGTTCCCCTCTTGAATCAAACGACCTTTTCCCCAACTCCTTTGAGGTCCAGCTTCACTTTCAATCCTCCACAAAGTTGTTCAAATTTTCTGAACATAAGGATCCCCTCCGTGGAGTGCCTGTTGCCATTATTTGTGTGTCACCAGCACACACTGCCGGTGTCTTGCCCTACATTGGAGGCTTCCACTAGGGCCATGTTTTATCCACTAGAGCACAGTCCGTCCTGCCTGACAGCAGACCACGCTAATGGCTACCTGTAGTTACAAAAGCCATAAACAGTGTACTTTAAAATGACACGTAAATATTGATGTGCATAAAGTGAAGAGTGAAATGCTCCTGCGCAGAGGGAGCTACCTTTCCCAGGGTGGAAGCTGACAGAGAAGCCATGGGTGGGAGTGGGGAAGAGTTCAAATCCCAACGTGGCCACTTCCCAGCTCATTGATTTTTTTCCCAGTTGTAAGATTTTTCACTATGAATTGTTCTTCAGCCTTGGACAAACTACTTTTCTCTGCCTCCATTTTTTCATCTACAAAATGGGGATAAATGCAATCAATACCTACCTCACTGGATTGTTAGGATGATCCAAGTGATATCTCTAAAGTATTGAGAACATTTCCTGACACTTAATATCTACTAGAAAATGTGACTTGTTAATCTTTCACAACTTCTTTAAAAGCTTACATACAAGTATATAATTTTGTTAAAAACGACAGAATCAAGTGTGTTTTTCTGCAGTATGCTTTAGTTGATCAAAAATAATTTGTGGCTGTTCTACTGTATTAATCTATACAAATATGCCTTACCACTGTATGCTCGGGTTCCCTCCAATATTTTGCTCTTTCAAAAAATCTGTAATTAAGTTCATTATATACATATCTTCATGTTCTACTTTTGAATGATGGGTTACTAAAAGTAGAATTGTTAGAGCATAAACTATGCTTTAGATAGAATATTTAATAATATTAGATTATTTCTAACTGGTTATCATTTGAATTTAATACTCTCAACAGTGTTTGTATTAAGAGCTGAAGCTTCATTATTCTTAAGCTAATTTCTTGAAAGTGTATCACAAAATGTTCCCTAATTGAAGTATAGGGATTCACACACACATACACCCCAAAAAATCTTTAATACCAACATATCTGAACTACACATTGAAAATTTAAGAAAAAGATGGAAACGCTAATAGCTTCTGGAATACTGATTCTTATCTTGGAACCCTATGCTCAACACATCTAAAAGCATTCACTTGGCAAGGACCCCAAAGAGTCAGACATCAATGTAATAATTCTCAAATATTAACTTTTTAAACATTCTTACAAGTACTATTAAAAATGTTTACATATTGGATTCTATATATAGGTATATTCTTCATGACAAAATATGGCTTTCATGTAGTTTAAGAACAAAACTTTAAGAGTGTTTCCATAAATAGTAGAAGCTACTGAATCTAAGCATGATTGGCAATTTCAAATTTTCTGAAATCTTTTACTCATAACACTTCATAACTTTCAAGCCCTTTTTCAGTTAGCATTCATACAAAGTGGAGGGCAAAAAAGGCTCAGTAACAATTCATAATGAAAAATCTTTCAATTGGGAAAAAATCAATTTGTTCGTTTTTAATCTATTAATTTTTTCTCTGGATTGGGCACAAGGCATCATTATTTTATTTTACCAGAAAATGTTTAAATGCAGCTTTCAGAACACAGATGTCCTATGGGAACATGACTTGAAGTCACTATATAATTTCCCATTAAATAAACCCCAGAACTTTAACTTAACTCCCAGTGAGGTCAAGCACCTGAAAAGTGCTATATATGCCAGCTGAGCACATTTCCCTTATGTGAAAGGTGCATTTCTAGCAATGCTCATCAGACTTTCAATTGCTAGAAACCTTCTTGTTGCCAACTTTGCCACTACCACGAGCTTCCCCTTGTTCCTTAAAAGGCGGAAACTTACTTCACAGTTCTAAAAAAGGGTCTTTTATCTATATGAAGTCCCTAAAGTCATTTCTTGGTTTTGGTAGACCTAGATTTATCTTATTTCAAAATTGCACTTATTTCTTAACATGCTTATTGAGAAATTCTTCACTTACAGTTTACCATTTAAAGTGTACAGTATAATGGCTTTTAGTATATTTACAGAAGTATACAGCCATCATCATAATAGATTTTAGATTTTCATCACCCTTCAAAGAAACCCTGCATTCCTTGGTTATCATCACCCAATTCCTCCATTCCCCTAGCACTAAGCCCATACCAATCTACTTTTTTCCCCCTGTAGATCTCTCTATTCTGAACATCATGTAAGTAGCCTCTAATATGACCTTTTGTGGCTGGCTTCTTTCACTCAGCATAATGTTTTCAAAATTCATCCCTATTGTTGCATGTATCTGTATTCATTCCCTTTTATGGTTGGATAATATCCCATTGTATGGACATACATTTTATTAATTCATTCATTAGTTGGTGGATATTTGAATTGTTATCATGTTTGTTTTGTTATTTGCTATTCTAAACAATGCTTCTATGAATATTTATAGACATATGTGTTTATTTCTCTTGGGCACAGAATAGAATTACTAGGTCATATATGGTAACTTTGCTTAGTCTTTTGAAGAATTTCAAATGTTTTTCAAAGTGGCTGCACTATCTGCATCCCTACAAGCATAAGAGAGTTTTAAGTTCTTCACTTTCTTGTCAATACTTGTCATTACCTATAATTATATTATTATATATGTTTTTGTCAGGATGGGTATTTTGTCAGAAGTGCTATCTCCTGACTTAATTTGCACTAGTCTGATGGCTAGTAATGCTGAGTATCTTTTTATGTGCTCTTGGTCTTTTGTCTGTCTTCTTGGGAAAATGTCTTTTTAGATCCTTTGCCCATTTTTAGTTGGATTGTCTTTTTTTATTTATTTTTTTTTTTTTTTGTGGACACAATATCTTTATTTTACTTTATGTGGTGCTGAGGATTGAACCCAGTGCCTCATGAATACTAGACGAGCAATCTACCACTGAGCCACAACCCCAGCCCAGCTGGGTTGTCTTTTTATTGTTGAATTATAGTATTTCTTCCCATATCAAAATTGCACTTTTTAAACAACTCTGAACACTAGATTATTCAGCAACTCCTGTGTAGCTTGTCATAAATCATAGTTATGATCATTCTTTTTTATTGGTGCATTATAGTTACATATAATAGTGAGATTCATTATACCATATTCATACACACACATAATGGTCCTTCTTAAATAGGATTCTTTGCTATAGTTAATACTATAAATAAGCATTCTTAAATTCTTGTTACAAAGTATAATGTAAGCAGTAAAACACTAGTGAAAAATGCTGTTCTATCCTAATATGAACTATTGGAATAAACCTTCTCCCCTCCCTCAAAAAAAGAAAATAATTGAATGACAGTGTTCAGTACAATAGCACTTCATCAAAAATATATTTTGGCCAGGAGTGGTGGTGTATGCCTGTGATCTCAGTGGCTTAGGAGGCTAAGGTAGGAGGATTACAAGTTCAAAGTCAGCCTCAGCAACTTAGCAAGGTCCTAAGCAACTTAGTGAGACCCTGTCTCTAAATAAAATAAAAGGGCTGGGGATGTGGCTCAGTGATTAAGTGCCCCTGGATTCAATACTCCTGGTAGTATATACATACAGTAGCCAGGTGCATTAGCACCTGCCTGTAATCACAGCTACTTGAGAGGCTAATGCAGGAGGATCACAAATTCATGGCCAACCTCTGCAGTTTAGCAAGACTGCCTCAAAATTTAAAAAATTTAAAAGGGATGTGGATGTACTTCAGTGACAGAGCACACCTGGGTTCAGTTCCCATTGCTGCAAAAAGCAAGAACATTTTTGCTTTTATCTGAAGAGATTTGTGTTTTAGCAAAAACTTAGAAGT